GGTTGATTTTTGATACTTAAGATGAAAATTAATTCTTAGTAGCGTTTCAGCGAAAAATTAACGGCAGTGAATTTTGATCATACAGATCTTATTTTTTCTGGAGGACCCCAAGGACTGTAGGCGCTATCAGGAAACGCAGAATTCCCAAATGGAGAGAAAATCTAACCTTCCAATAGACTTTCATGACCATTATGACTTTGCGTGAAAATAATGTGCACTTTTCGGAGCACTATTACAAAAACGCACAAATAACTGTACTAGGCGAAGTGGTGTAGTGTATGTAACAGTCGGAAGAATAAAAGAAGAAAAGATTCATCGGGAAGAGATATTGATTGTACGTGCCAAGATATTTTGAAAAAAAAATGTTGATTTCGATTTTTAAAATATGAAACAAAATATGAAATATCCAATGAATCATTTTGTTGCTAACGAATCAAATAAATAAATAAGACAAAGACTCTCAGTGCTTTTCAACTTTTTGACGTTACACTGACGAAAGCCTGGCAAGCTTTTGTTGTAAGTTCTTGCATCTAAACCATTGATTAGTTGCATTGATTAATTGTTCCTTCACAAAAATAAGGGACAACAGCGAGGGACGGACTCTTTTTTTTACATATTTTGAATTACTCTCAGATTTGACCAAATTCGAACATATTTCAGTAAACGGAATGTTTGAGTTGAGATATAGTTTTAAGATTGGAGAAGTGTTCCTCGTTAAGTAGAGTAATTCAAAGGCGTATTCCGTAAGTGTGTATTGATGTAAATAGCATTTCTCGATTTTTGTAATAGACATACATCTAGATGATGAACATAGAAATTTATATTAATATTAAAAATTATTTCTATATAGAATATTATCAAGATGATTTAAGTATGGAAAATTGAAATGAGAAAGCAAAGCTGACGTAAATACATTGTATGTCATAGTTTCTTTATCGTGCATAGCATCCCAATAAGATTGACGTCGGCGTTCATCGTGAACACTGGAACGTCGATTTTTTCTTTCAATTATTTTGTTTTTATGTTCGACATTATCTACGGAAACGTTTAACTTAGATTGACGCACATTTTGATCGGGACTAATATTGCCTTCAAAGCTGTGTCGACTATTGTGCGGCGAATGTGAAGAATTGGAATCTTTTCTGATAATTCCGATAAAAAACCAATATGTTACATTTGAAAAGCTTAAGGAATCTAGCCGGACTATTAAATTCGAAACATGTGTTTGTATAAAATTTGCTGCCTTTATGGAGTAAGCATATATATTCTCAATAATTCCAAATATTTGAGAATAAGAGTCCAATTTGCTTACAATTTTTAATGTTGTTCAAGTATTTGTATGAAAATTGCGTGCATGCAAGAGTAAGCGTATAAAAATTTGCCTTCAACTGAAAATGATTCTCAATAATTCCAAAGATGTGAGAATAAGAGTCAAAAGAAAACATAAGAAATCAAAGGGAGGTATAGCGAACTCAAAAAAAAACATATGAAATCAAATGGAAGTATAGTGATTTCAAAGAGAGGTAAAGCGAATTCAAAAGCAATCATATGACTATGCAAACGATGCATTAATCCGTTTTCGAGATGGGATATCAACTTTTCAATGTTTTGCAAGACATTGCAACCCTGTTAAAAAACCAGTATTTTTGTAAAGCTAATCCGTGTGTGGTTGCTGCCGCAAAATACTAGTGCCGTGTGTGTTTGTTCTTACAAACTGTAATTTTTGTTTACATTTACTCTGCACGCGCTATTGTGTACACTTAAAAAGTAACGAGCCGATAGCCTCTGTTACTAGTGCTCAATCTCTTTTTTCTTAGTCTAAGAATTTATTTCATTAGTCTAAAATTATAATAATAATAATAATAAATAAAAAGTAAGGCCCGACCATATTTGATTTTATTGCTGTAAATGTAGTAGCATATTTCAGAATTGTTGCCACTTCGTTTATTTATCATAATTTTTAACAAATGTCAATGTTATTACTATTATTATTGCTAACATTATTATTATTAATCTTTAAAACCTTTACTATCGAAAGTATAATAAAAGCGCTTTTTTAATATAAACCAAATTAATTTGAATGAAATTGTTTACAAGTTGGATTTTTCTCCGTATAATAAGAAATTGTTTTTTTTTAAACAAGGCTAAATAAAGCAGTAATAAGCCAATTTAACTTATTTCCCTTTTTTTAAAATAAAGTTTAATTGCTTTTACATTCATTTTTTTATTGTTGTTTTTCATATATTTTTTGATTTCTAATTAGTCCAAAATTAAATTTAAAAAAAAATTACTTAATCTGCAATCCTATATACCAGAATACTTGGGAATTTTTAGAAATATTAATATTACAAAATATAATGTGTGTGTAATTGGCAAATTGAATGGAAAAGTCAAATTTTCTTCACACTTTTACTAACGAATGGTGCCTAAGATACGGTTTTATAAGGTAAGATGGTTTTATATGGTAGATAGGGATCGCAGAAAAAAAAAATATAAAGAAAGAACTTTCAAAACCTTCGTGAATATCTATAGCAAACGATTTTTCGCAACATGTTTAAGAGAATTTAGATTATTCGATAGGGCCGTTTAAAAAAGCCACTTATATACTAATGTGTGTTGATGGTGTTAAACTGTCCTCTTCTTTCAATGCGAAAACATATTCATTTGGCCTACAATCCAATTTAGACAATTTGGCTATATGGCGCTGGTTCAACTTTATGCAGCTCAACTTAAAAAAGTGTAGGAAGCTTTCATTGGCACGAAGGAATATATTATCTACAGTATACTTTATAGATTCGATAAAATTGGAAAATGTAAAGTCATTCTTCGAGTTGGGGGGGTAGTTAATTAACCAAAGGATTCAATGATTTAAAAAAAGAACTGCTTGGCTTTATCAAGAGATGGCCAAAGAGTTTGATGATCCTTATGTTACAAAAAGATTATACATAAGTTTGGAATCCATTCAAAAGAATTTCCTGCTTTTTGTTTTGAGCTATACGGAATGGGATCGGACAGTTTCGTTGCCGTCATATCAAAAAATCATTTGTAAAAGTTTAAATGGTGTTTCTAATTTAACTTCAGTATTGGATACGTTGAAGAACATCAATTACTGCTCGTTAATATGCTCAATCTGCCGATGCCGCTTTGCAATGAAATTAACTAATAAATTAAGATTACTTTTTGTTTCGCAAAATGAACCAGCTATGTCTAGTATTGGTTGCCAAGTTTTTACTGGAAAGCTCTACCCTAACAATTTAGCATAAGTCGTCTATAAGATTTAGTATAAGTCGCACCTCTCCGACGGTAGTGGTCGCCAATGGATGCACAATGCCAATTCATTTTACTTTAATATATCCAACTACTTATTTTGCAATTAAAACGTTATACTTACTTAATATTCTATCAATGCAAGTATATAATAATTGTGACATGAAGTAATTGTACATATTACAAGTCATTTATAAAATGATTGTAGGTTACTAGTGTGTACAACACAGCGAGAATGTAACTCATATAACACCCGATCAGTCCATTTATCATGTCTGGCTACACATCCATCTACTGATATTATAATTGTCCGGAACTGTTTCTCTAAGTCGTGCCGAAGCCAATTTAGTGGATAAGAAGGTCGGCAAGATCAAACATTCAATTTGTATATGAATTTTAATTTGTAGCAATATTTGCTGAAAAATGTTTGAACATCTTAGTGATGGCTGATTTAACTTCTAATAAAATCTATGATGTTTTTCGGTGTTTTGTAGTTAAGACTCACTCATGGCGCAAAATCGAATTGCCGAATTGTTACAAACTTTCTCTAACAGTATATTGTCATTCATATATTTATGTAAAAACAAGTCTATAGAACTAAAATACTTACTATTAAGCTTTAAAAGCTGCTATGAATAAAATAAAAAGCTTTCGGTCCCGGACATTGCGCAGGAGAGTACATATATTCCGAGCGAGTTTAAAAGAGCGTTAGAGACGCTGCAAAAGAAAAAATTATAGTATCATAAAATGAGGGCAAGTAGTGTGATTTATTTCGACCGAATTTCTTTTTTTTTTTTCTTTTCAAAAACAAAATACTTAAAAAACAAGTTGTAAAAACTTAAACAATAAAAACAAAAACTGAGTTTTGCGACGATTAAATGTGGGGATACGTGAACTGAGCTACGCAAGTTTTGGAATTGAGTTCGGTTTTTAAACATTATGAAAACTTTTTCGAAAATTTTTATTATTATAAACAAAGTCACAAAAAAAAAAGAAGTTATGTTTGCTAGAAGTAGAGCTTAGTTGCCGCTCCGCACAAAGTGTCATTTCTGTTATATATAGTGTATTGTGTATTTGCTATGGTTCAGTTCTTGTATTTTTTTAAAATTTTAACAATTTACATTTTGGCTTTCTATTCTTCCTTATTTCATAAGTGTACTTTTTGAGTTGAAATCTTTTCTTGCGTTTAATTTAAATATCTTATTTCTGACATTTTATAAATTAATACAAAAATGACAAAAGACAAAACCCAACCAATAATTTAAATATTACTTTATATTAAGTCGCATATAATTCTTATGTCACGTGCTCCGTTTGTTCATTTTTTTTTTATAAATAACATAAATAAATTATAGCCCATTTTATATATTTAAATATTATAGCAAAAATAACCGGGAAAATTAAAAGTTTAAATCAGAGTCTCTATTAAAATTGCTTAAGTAATTCTTTTTCTCTCTACATGTTTGTACGGGTAAAGTTCTCTTCCGTCAAATTTTATTTTCCGGCCATACACAGATTATGTTGTGAAAAAATATGAAAATGCATTTTGCAAAACTAAAAAGAAGAACAAAATGCTCAGCCAGAAATCTAACAACAAAGCAAATGGTAGGGTGAAAGAAAGAGAGATAGAGAAAATATTTGAAAGGATAAACTTAAAGAAGAGAGTGAATTAAAAGCTTTTGAATATTTCAATATTCTCAAATGTGTACTTGTATGTATTTGTTTGCTTGCAGGAGTGGTATGTTGATAAATTTTAGCCGCCATGGATCCCAGTGCTTTACAAAACATGGATCGGGACGCATTAAAGAAACAAATCGAAAATATGAAATATCAAGCATCCATGGAAAGGTGGCCCCTATCTAAAAGCATTGCAGAGTGAGTAGTTCTCTGAAGACAAAAGAATTAAAAATAAGAAAAAATTATAACAAAATTCAAGAATAATATATATAAAAAGTTAAAATAAAATTAATATCAAACAAAAATATTTTGAAAAAAGTGTTCAAGCAACGAATTTATCGAAAAAAAGACAAATGAAAACTAATATGTGTGAACGGTGGCCTAATTTTTTTTTTTTTCTAAAAATCTGAGATAAATGCATAAAACCATGCCTGCTGCTATTATGTACAACTTTTACGTCTGAGAAATTTTATATGTACATGTCTTAGATAGGAGTTGTAAATATGTGCTTAAGTATCTATATAAACATGACTTTAGAAGTGCGAAATATGTGTTTACCCATTTAACTGTGTGTGCGACTTGTTGTATGGAATAGAGACACGTATTTTTCTAAAAGCAAACACACTTTACTTTTTGGTTTTCGAAATAGGTATTCTTTTCCAGTTTTCTATATGCATACTTGGATTATGAAAAGTAAAGAAAGACACTTTTAGTTGTCTGCCTGTAGGCGTTACTTTATACACGTTCTTCAAAAAATTCTTTTATGCCCAGAAATAGAAATTAGTGCGTACAGGCAAATGCCGAGACAAATTTATTTATAAAAGCATAGACTAAAAAAAATTACGAAAAAAATGTTATAAAATTTCTCATAAATAATCTCTTAAGTATTTTTATAGAAAATTCTTTTTAACAAAAATGAGATTCGCATCCACAAGTTTGTATATAACAAAGGTTTTGTAAATGAATTTTTTAAAGTCTTATTATTTTAATTTTTCGTAACTATTTGACTTACGCCTGCATAACAGATTAACTTAGCTGAGACTTACTTATTAAATTGTTATAGTGAAGTTCGTAGTTGGGGTTTTTCAGATTATTGATTCATTTTGAAATTTACTCAATTACAAAAAAGTTTCATGGCATATTATTTCTCTTATTGAAACTTGGTGGGCTTGATTGGAAAACGAAGCGTATCAGCACTGATTACTTCTTCCACTTTCAATAAGATCAAAAATTTAAAGAAACCTCAAATAAATACGCTTGCAAATGTGAAAACATATTCTCTTCGAATCTGATGGTATTCAAGAACACGTTGGAAACTAAAAAAACATTATACTCTTATACTTCGGTGTAGAAATCGGCTTGGAGTTCTTTTGCTCCAAGCAGTTTTTTGTGACAACTGCTTCGATACTCTCAAACCTTTAATTGTAGTTAGAAATGAAAGTTAAATTTCGCAATAACACCTGCAATTTTATATGAAACACTTTGTAATGTTTTTTTTTTTTTAAACATATATATAATTTACAATCCACCTAAAAAGATGATGAATAAATTTTATGTGATATTTAAATAAATAAAAACAAACTATATAAACTAAGGAAACTCTCTTTCTATATCTTTTTGATTGAAATAGTTCAAAGAACAAAAATAAATTAATTTCTAAATGAAAGATCCAGTAAATTACATCTTTTTAAAGTTCTGATTTCATTGGGTTTATCCAGAAGAAATGCTATTATTATTGATAACTCAGTCTGACAAGATGTTTTCAAGAAATGGGTTGGATTCAGTTTTTTGTTGAATAATTTTTTTATAAAGGAACAGAAAAATGGAGGATCTTAGACTAATATTTTGGAGTATTTCAATATTAGAGCTACTGGCTGATCTCCATAGCGGTATGCCGTAGGTCCAAAAAGATTTCATTCGTTGCTTAGATTAGGTTGGGATTTAGTACGAATTAGCCAACAGAATCTTTTGGTTTTTAAGTTAAGTTGCTCGAAAGTATTTTTGCTATGATTTTTCCACGTTAATCTTTGGTCAATATGTAAGTGTGGAAGATATTTTACATAGTTGTTGATAGGGATATTATTGCCATTCTAAAATAGTAACGGACAAGAATCCTTCTTTAGCCCGAACGTAAGTCTAAACCCCTGCAAAAATGTATATCTTTTTTCGAAATGAAGTCCAATACAATCAGTGTATTTTCACTTTAAACGAAATCTTTTGATATTTCATAATCGGAAATAATTTGCGGCATGTGCTCGCAACAAATTGATCGCAAGAACCGGATTTCTTAAATAGTCTACAAAAGAAACAATTCAGCGGCTCCAATCCATGCCAAATTATTGAACGTTTTCGTGCAACAATATTGTCAATAAATTAAAAGTTGAATAAATTCAATGACAGTACGAGACACTAGTCGACAAATGATTTGCTGCCAATGCTTGTATCAATAACGAAACAAATAACAGCCATTGAAAATCCTTTCGGAAATTCTGTCACTTCACAGTCACAGAGAGTTTTGGCGTTTTATATAATCCAGCAACAATTGTGAGACGTCGCATAAGACATTTCTCATACCCACGGTACTCAAGTTGTCTGTCTATTTGGCTGTTTAGCCTCGTATTGCACCCTTGAATTACTTGTTGGTGACGTCTGTTGGAAATATAAATTTTGTGGCTAGATAGTTTAAAATAGAAGTGATCGACACCCTGTTGCATGAGCTATAGTCATAAAACTAAACAATTTATCTTCAAAAAATTCGATTTTTTTAAACTTTAAATCTATCACAGATACTTTCCTGTGCATATCAAGAGTTTGGCAAATTTGTTGTATTAGTATTGACACTATCTCCACAGTTGCCCGTCCCATAACACGGACTTATAAGCGTATTACGCCTTGTATCTATGATGTTAGTGTCCACGTTTTCTTCTTTGTTCACGTCCCTTCGAACTTCTTTTTGTCCGACTGCCCAAAATTCTGATTGTTAATCTATCTCTGCAAAGCCATTCAGTCACAATTGCACAATTTTTAATCAAGCGACTATAGTTTTCAAGATCGAGAAGGAATTCTTTTGTAGACATGTACGTATCTACCTCTTCGGTCGAACACTCCGTTCGGCACTGGAATGCGTTGCCGCAGACTTGGAAATCCTTTGATGGTTCATGAAATGCCATTAAGAGAAAATTCGCCTCATTCTTAAAGATCTAAATTTGAACGATGCTGGAAGTTGACGATTGTAACGGTTAGATAGAGCGAGGTGCTTGCTTGAGTAGTGTTTAGCTCCTTCTCTCCACATTATTTATAATTATTAGAACTATGTACATTGCTTTACGACTTTGTAGTTGCAAATATACAGTTGCACACTTATTAAAAAAAATATTAAAAAAATTTGTTACGTTGGAATTTCGTGTTTTTTACAAAAGCGGGGAGGTTAAAGCCCAAAGTTTTGCCTGTTAATTTCTAATACACTGATTGGTATCTTTGAAAACTATTTAAGTTACTTTAAAACCAGTTACGTTCCACTGCCGACGTACGATCTGTAAAGATGGAACTATGCAAAAGATTACAGTGCTTCTGCCAAAAAATTAAAAGTTTGGGACAAAGTTTTTGAAGTTGATTACGAATTACGAATTTCACTATTGAGTCGCACATTTTCTTTCCGCTTTCTTTGCCATTTCGCTTCACTTAAAGAGCAAAATCTGCGATCCTGTTTTTGACACACGAAACAACAGTGACGCTTTCGAGCAAAAAACCTTTATGAAAAGAGAACAAGGGGGAATATTTGAATTTGGAAGGGCATTTTTTTTGGTTCTAGGATCGCCAACTAATGGAAACAACCAATAAAAAATTTATTATATTAAAAAAAAATATCTATAACACGTTTCGAAACTTCAAACGTTTTTTTCGTGAAACACGATTTCTCAAAACAGCAAGCAATACAGCCTAAACAACTTTCTTTTTTTGTCATTCGAATTTTGTACTGTATTTTTAAAATAACAGAAGAGTATATTTTTTCGATCCAAAATTAAACTTTTTCACCCAAAGCTCGCCAATTATAGAATTTTCTGAGAAATCCTGGGTATTTCTCTAGAAATAGAAGTTAAATTATTTCCTTTTTTTCATTCAAATTTTGGGCCAGTTGCACTGCATAAGCAGAGTTCCTTCTATTAAACATGCCTTGCTGCGGTGCCGCCATTTATATCCTTTTTTCTATAGCCTTTTTAAAACTTTTTAAAAGGTCTTGGGCCTTCGAGTGGGGCAGTAAGGCCTGCAATGCGAGACGACGCAGCTTGCTGGAAGCATTCGCCGTGCTGAAAGTATCTCTTCTGAACGTTGGGCAGAAGGATAGGTTTCGTAAGGCAGGAAGGCGGTCGAAAGTAGACCTCACTTTTGTTAGCGACGGCCTAGTGGCAATATGCAAGTGGTTGTTAAGCGAAGAGTGCACAAGCAGAGTTCACCGGACCGTCTTCCTCGACATAGACACCAGAGAACACACAGTAAATTGGTGGAACATAACTACCGCGCCGAAATGGAGAGATTCGTCTTTAACATCATTACGGACTGCTACGAGAGGGGTGACGGTACGTCTGGCGAACTCCATCAAAACGTAAGAAAGCTGTTTGTACAGGCATGCGGGGCGGCCATGCCTCGAAAAGAAAATATAGGGAGAAGAGGATCTCCGTGCTATTGGTGGATCGAAGAGATAGCGTCCCTGAGAACGAACTGCTTGAAGGGCAGGCGAAAAGTGCAGCGCTCGAGGGGAAGGGCAAACTTTAGTGAACTGCACACACCCTACAGAGAGTCGTCCTGAAGAAGGTTAAAGGACAGAAAACGCCGCAAATCTCGTGTCCGCTCACGCTCCGGCGTATAGTATCAACACTTTTTCCACAGAGGCCACCGTACGTGTTGGTAAACCTCCGCGGCATAGAAGATGAACCAATACCAGCAATTACCACCGAAGAGCTTTTAAGCACCTGCAAAAGGCCTTAAAGGCAGCGATACGAAGGAGACCAGACGTCCAGATGCGGCAAAGCTGCCTGAAGAAAGGTCATTCCCAGATGAATGGAAGGTCTAAAGGTTAGTCCTTATTTCGAAGGCCAATAAGCCCCTGAACGAGCCATCGTCATACCGCCCCATCTGAGGTGTGGACACAATGGGCAAGTTATTGGAAAGGGTCGTATACGAACGCCTGCTAGTCGTGG